AGGCTGACTCCCCACAAAGAGAACCTGCTCTGTGCTTCAGCGTGGGGTCAGGTCTGTGGGACGAGCACATTCCCAGGGCTTGGCCGCCTTCTCTTCAAAACCTTCCAGGCCCAGCACTTCCCACTGCACCTGTGCAGAGGACAAGAGGCATGCGGTGGACAGCGTGGGCAGCCAAGCTTGAAGGGAAAGCTGCCCTCAGCCTGTGACCCTGCACAGGGGCCCGAGAGCCCCATCTGGCTATCACTCACACGTGTGCACGCACGCACACATGCACACGCACGCACACTCTACTGCTCAGGGGAGTCCAGATGGGGCCTCTTCCTCACACCCACCGATCCCAGGGAAAAGACCAGCAAATGCCTACTCTGGGAATTCTCAGTGGGCGGCTTCCTCTCTTCTCTCCACCAACCAACAAAGGAGGTTTTCAGCTGGTAGGCATGAAACCGGGATGCCTCCTGGCTTTTGTCACTAACAGCGAAGCACCGGGGCCAGGAGGGTTTCCGGGAAGCCCCTCATTGCCCTGTCCTTGAGGGAGCCCAGGTGGGGGAAGTGAGCTGGAGGTTTCTGGGAAGCGAGCTCCTCCGGGATGGGCCTTTCCCCCTCTCCACCAGCTGCCGGCTCTGAATCACAGAAGAACGGTGCTGGCACCCACAGCCACACGAAGACGGCCACGGACCCCAGGGCCAGCCCATGATCCTCTCCAGCAGAGACACATAGGAGCATTAAGATACATCCACTTATTCACAAAACATTTCCCAAGACCTGCGATGTGCTGGTGATGTGTCACTGTCCTCAGACACAGCAGGGCAAGATGAAGACATACCTTCCACTGGGAGAAAGAGGCCAGATACATAGAGAAACCATCCTTTCCACCCGCGATAGCACTTTGAAGGAGATGGAGAAGTGGGACGGGGTGGGGAAAGGCCAGCTCTAGTGGGGTGGGGGTTCTCGCGGGGTGGGAGCGCTGAGCTGCCACAGATGAGCAGGGACCAGCCGGTCAACATACAGAGAAGAGTATTCGGAGGCAAAGGGGCATCGAGCCCAAGGAGCCAGAGGGGATAGAGAATCGGGTCCTTCAAAGAACCCAAGGATGCCCGTGTATCAACAGCACAGCCTACAGAGAGCAGCCCTAGGCCTGGGGAAGGCCCAGTACACTGGGCCCAGTATCATCAAGTCCTGGATCAGACAGTGACTGGGCAAGAGCCTAGAACCAAGGCTAATATCCTGATTCGGGGCAGACAAGAAAAATCCAGGCTGAAGACAGATTGAAGGTGAATGCGTACAAATGAAAGACTGAGAACCTCATACTATAGTTCGACTTGGTCCTGCATCTCATTGGCAAACATTTCAAACGTCAGAGTGCTGTTTAGCAGGATACACTCTGCAGGCTCTGTGCAAAGCACCTCGGCCGGGCCACAGGCTGTGAGGTCAGATCTTGTTTCGAAACCCACCGTTTCCACGGCCAGATGAGTTTTCTGGTTTATGAAAGCTGGGATTGTACTGAAAACCATGCTGGTATTCCAAGGGTCAAGAGAGAAAGTAACAGCGCCACACGTGCATGGGCCTCTGCTTACCAAGATAATGATGGGATTGGCCACAACAGCCCAGCTGTGCTAGACCTGGAGGTGGGGGCTGCCTATCCAGGCAGGCACTGGAGTCACAATCTTGAAACTCTTAAACCACTGACTTTAGCCTTGGAAAGATCAAAGTGCCACCAAGTGGGACACCAAGGAGGCTTCTGCAGCCCCCTGGGGGCAAGAATCTTAGCCAGGAGCCCAAGCAAGGAGGTAGCAAATTAAGAGCAGCAAGTTTATCTCAGGACCCCTAGTCCTGCCCAGCCAAGCTCTCAGAGCCATGTCAGGGGGCTTAGCTCCAGATCAAGCCCCTAAAGAAGAACACTAAACGGAGGGGCCATACCCATGTGACAATGTCTTCCACCCTGCCCATGATGCATTGGCCTGGGAACCCAAGAACTTGGACTGCATGGCTGTGACGTAGCCCAGGAAGACATCTGAAGAGGTGGCCAGGTGCATCATCCGGCTTCCCTGGACCACAGGCCATCAACAGCACACCAGAGGGGACCCCATCAGTGGCCCTTCCCCAACCCACCCGGCCAGGATCAGGCCTGGGGGGCACTCAGCAACCCCCCCATGATGGAGTGACAATGTTCTCTCTTGCCCACACAGCGTGCTCTGGGCTCCCAGCCCCAGCACCAGCAGTTTGACAGATTCAAGGGTTCCCACCTTGACAATGGCAACATCATCAGAGAATTCTAGTCCTGGATCGATCTCTCTCTCTGAACATCCCATCTTTTTTAAAAAAGGGAGCAGGGGGGAGGGCAGGAAAATTGTCTGCAGAAACTGCGGCTCTGCGAGCAGGCTTTTCCTGGAAAACGACAGGCACAGAACTGGAGCCTGTAGGGCTGACGAGGTGGAGAACCTACGTCGACGCACCCGAGGCCAGAGCACATATGTTTGACTACAGACGAGCTGGAGATGCAGGCCTGTGTCATGCTCACAAGCTGTGCAATTGCGGCTATATAACCTCCAAACCTCAGTTTCTTCCTCTGTAAAATGGGAAGACAGCAGTGTAGGAGGTGTGGCAAGGATGATATGAGAGAGCCATGGGCCTCATCTGCTCCACATTTCATAACTGAGGGCCTATCGTAGGCCGTGCCAGGCAGTGTCGTTGGGTCAGGGGCACAGCAGTCAACAGCACCGACAAAATCCACTAGGTAATAAGGAAGGAAATCTCAGGTGGTGATAAATGCAAAGTGGAGAACCGAAACACGGTCAAGGGGGTAGGAAGCAATGACAGGCAAGGAGGCAACTTCACCATGAGCATGAGAAGGTCGTCTCTGGGGTTGGGTGTTTGAGTAAATACTTACACAGCACAAAGAATCCAGGCATGGAAAGGTGGAGGGAGACCACAGCAAGTGCCAAGGCCCTGGGGCTAGCAAGCTGGCAGCTCAGGAAACAGAAAGGTCAGTATGAGTGGGTGAAGGCCAGGTCAAACAAAGTTTTATAAAGACAGAGCCGGGGCTACTGGATGGCTCAGTCGGTGAAATGTCATGATCCCAGGTTATGATCCCAGAGTCCTGGGATGGAGCCCCACATCGGGCTGAGCCTGCTTCTCCCTCTCCCTCTGCCAGCTGCTCCCCCTGCTTGTGCTCTCTCGCTCTGTCAAATAAATAAATAAAAATCTTAAAAAAAAAAAAAAAGAAAAGAAAAAGAAAAGAGAGACAGAGTCAAGAGTTTGGGTTTAATACCTCTTCCTCGTCCAAACACGACAATGACACTCCACACCCCCACCCTGTCACCCTAACTGTGTATAGATTCTAGAAACACTCACAACCTTACGGTGTTTATTGTTTATTGTCTCCTGACACCCAATCCAATGTGAGCTCGAGGAGGGCAGGAACCTCCACCTTGGGTCATGGAGCAATTCTTACCGCCTGGCCTAGAAGAGGGTCTTAACAATATCAGTTTAATTAAGTAATTATTGGCACTCAGTAAGTGCTCAATAAATACGATGATTCAGGCTGTCATCAGGGCCCTGGCTGCTTTGCGAGGAGATGAGCCTCTCATCCCTGGAGGTATTCAAGCAGAGACAGGAAGAACACACGTTGGAGACCCTTGGCACCAGGAGGGGCTGGGATGGTGGGGGCTCTAGGTTCTCTCCCCTTCCAAGGGTTTTGAGATCTGTGCTCTGCCCAGAACCTGGAACAGTCAGCTCCTGCAGCCGTTAGGAGACAGCCAGGGACAGACATCATCTGAGCGGCTGCAACACATGTGACAGAGCTTGGGCAGCGCCTCGATTTCTGGATCACTCCAGGTTTACGAGCACCGCCTTGGTGAGAGATAGAATCATCACGAGGGCCGTGGTGGGGGCCAGGATGAGAAGGGAAGAAAAACCTTTTTGCCAACATTGTTCATTGAGTGCCAGGTGGAATGGACTTAAATTCTCCCTCAAAGGCCAGGCCCCCACCCACCCACCCCCCGCCCCGGGGCAGAGCACTTCCTGCAGACAATTGGAATTGGCCTGTAGGGTTCGACTTCCTTTGTGTCAACTAATTTCTGACTCGGGGCTTTCAGCTATTTATTTCTAGAACAATACGCTGCTCCTCGCTGCAACAGCCGTCCAGTGAGGCAGTCTTCCTGGCGGTGACAGCGCTTCTCCCCCAGCTTTTCTCCTCGGCAGGAGGGGGAGGGAGGTGTGAAAAGCCATCTGAAAGAGGGGGGTGGGAGTGGTCAAGCCTATCCCCTCTCCCACCAGCTCCCCCAGGGCAAGTCTCATTCTTGGCCAGCCAGAATGGAAGCGAGGACCCGAGGACCCCAGGAATTTCGGGGCAGGCCGGTGGCAATGGGGGGAAAAGAGGGTCTGGCCCCCACAAGCAGCTCTCCTTCCGCACAGTAATTAACCGAGGCCCCCAGCACCCTTCCTTGGCTCGCCGGCCTGCCGTCCCCTTTCTGTAATATTTTTCTAATTTGCGTTGCCGCTTCCTGCTTCCTCCAAGCCACCTTAATTGGAAACTCTGTAGTTCACACGGAAAGTTCCTCTCTGCTCTCTGAGGACACCTATCGAGGGTGGAACCGGGCTCTTCACAATAATTCTTACCAGACACGGCTAATAATGACCCTCTTTCACTAATGAAAAAAACACACACATGCACACATTGTGGCTGCTGTAATTAAGCTTGTGACGAGTTGAGTTGGAGGGAAATTAGATTTATTTACATGCTGTTCTGTTGCTGATGAAGCACTAGCTATCGGGAAGACTTCTAATTAACCCTCGTTTAGAGGGTGTGCTCTTTTGTGTCTCCTTCCCTCCCTTTGTAAATTGCAGTTGGTTAAAAAATAATAATAATAATAATTAGCCATTCTTAGAGTTGAGTTCTTTCCTGTAACTCAGTTTAATCCTTGAGCCGTGTTGCCCGGATGCTGACGGTAATAAAATGCTCGCAAGCTTCCAGTTCTGAGCTATAGTCACATCAACTCGACCAGCCAACGAGCGTGGCCGAGGTAGCCAGGCCCTGTCCTAGGCACCCAGCCAGTCGAAAGTGGAGCCAGGGCCAGCCCTGCCCCCGAAGAGATTAGGATGACCAGAAAGGAACCGGGTTGAACGCCGGTTGAGGCAGAAATAATGGCAGAGCGGCCAGGCTGGAAGCAGGCCGCATTCAGGTTTGCAGGGGAAGAACTGGGGTTGCGGGGGGCACGTTGTGGGGTTTGTAAGGGAGGGAAGAAAAGCAAATGCAGGATTTAAGCAAGATCAGGGCAGAGCCCACAGAGGCAACTGGAAGGTCTCGATGTCCAGGGTTTTCAGAACAGATTTGCTGTCCATGGCTGACTGCCTCCTCCGTCTGTGTGTGCACAGCTGTGTCTGGGAAAGAAGCAGGCCCAGGATGCCACGGCTATGAGCACACAGGTCCCGGGCTAGGTGTGCTCGTCCCTGGAGTCCTGGATTCTTCAAATCTGGTGCCCAGGAGGCAGTGGGCATCGGACGAGGGCGCCCATCCCCAGTTACCGCAGCCCCTCAGGTCTAAGAAGCTGCAAATGCAGGACACCCACCAACTTAATGCCAGCTTGTTCTAGAGGGGAGGGGGAGCCATTTCATTAGACAGATGCATAGACCAAAATGTTGCTCGATTTCAGAAATGTTGGATTCCGACAAAATGCGCATCTCAGAATCAAAGCAACACAAGATAATCAAGTCTTCAGAGGACAGCCTGTCCCATGGAGGCCAGACTCTGCGTGAAATCCACAGAATCAGGCAAGCTCCCCGTGTCCCGTAGATGGCCAAGGCAAGGAGCACCTGAGCTGTCACAGGGTTCTCCGGCGCTGCCCATCTCCCAGGGTCACCTTCCACGCCAACCATATGGCTCAAGTGGTCCCAGCTCATCCCTTAAGGTACCTAGGGAAACCTCTGGTTGAAGGGACCTCAAAGACCCACCTGACCCAGCCCAGCTCTCACCTAGTAAAGCCTGGCCGCCCCCAGCACCCCAGCATCCCTCCTGACGGCTGTCCAGAGCTGGCTGGCACCTCCAGGGAAGGGAGGTGGTTGTGATGGTCACCACCTCCCAGGGCACTGCCAGGCAGGGAAATCTGATGATGTGGGAAGGGGCGAGAACAGGATGCGTATATGGGGACAAAACCCATCTAGAGTTTAGATACTTGCGAGCGCCTCTGGTGACAACGGGGGATGCGGGGAGAGTGGACACGCACACGAACAGGCTTCAGAAGCCACGTCTGGGGAGCCGCAGGATTACCTGACGATTCTTCTAAAGCACTTGGGATTTTTTAAAAGCCTGAGTCCTGCTGAAAGACAGCACAGCTCTAGACTCCAGAACAAGGTCCGTAAGACGTCTCATCCATCCTGTGTCACTACTCGCCTTGTGTGTGGGTGTTTTGTTTCTCTTCTAAACCTCTTGCCACACTGTACAATGACAATTATTTCTTTCCCCTTAGACTACACAGCACCAGGCAAGGAACATGTGGCCCCTCTTCCTGAGGGGGATCCAGAGCCTCTGTGGCCTCCATGCCAAAGGCAAAACAGACTTTCCATCAATGTGGGTGGTTCATGAGGCCAAAATTTTTCAATCTCACAAATCGTATTTTTCTCGCCTTTCAATATTATATTGGGGATTCCATGGGTTTCTAACGCTTGCCACTCACTCAACCTAATAACTGGTTATATTAATATCTCCCATATTCTCCTTCTATTTACTCTCGCTTGGGAGTTGACAAACTGGTAGCAAAGGGACTCCTCTAACACGCTCACATAATCACTGCCGCCTCCCCTGCCCCAGGGAAGGGGCTTCATATATGCCTGGGAGGTGAACAAGGAGACCAGCCCCGCCAGCTCCTGCTAAGAGGATGGCATTGTCATCCACCTGCTCGAAGCAAGTTTCCAGGACACGAGGAGCCCCTGTGTGATATGGACTGCATGGCCCTGCCAAGGTTAACGCTGTTTAATTACCCAGCATTTTAAAATCATCATGTCCCAATCACATAAAACTCATCTGCCAGTAACTTCTAGAATTCGACACATTTCTGCAGGTCATCGGGACTCCTGGGAACTTGAACCAAGCCAGACGTGCAGCCACCTGCTTGTGAATCCCCCCTACTTGGGTGGAGTGGTGAGGAGCCTGACTCAGCAGGAAACACCCCTTTGCCATCTGAAGAATGGCCTTGGGGACACACGTGTGCACCCTGGACACCCCCATCAGCGAACTCGGGTTTACCTGCCACGGCAGGTACAAGGAGAATAATTTTCCAAAATGCTCCAACGGGGCGATCTGTCACAAATGACAAGTCAAAAAAGGATGATGGACGGTGGCTCCTCGCTCAGAAGCATGCATCAGCTCCTCCCCTCCACGTCGGTCCCTTCCAGCTGCCATCGCCCCAGGTCAGGACTGTGCCACCTCTTCCCCTCGATGACCGACGACCGTACAGCCTCCCTGGCTTGTCCAACCATGTGTCGAACCCCGAGCGGATGTGTGCTGTATGTTAAGCACTAGAATGTCCTTGTCCCACCTTCACCTGCCAACAGTGGAAAATGGCTCATCCCAGAACCTCAACATCAGAAGGATCCACTTCAGGGATTTGTTTTCAAGGATTTTTAAAAGACTCATCCTTTCAAAAAAATATTCTCCCTCAGACTCCTCAAAGAATGACACTCCAAGACTAAAGTATAGTGGCAAGAAGTGCACATTTGGGTGAAAGAATTTTTTTTGATATTTTATTTTTTAAGATTTTATTTATTTGTTCATGAGAGACACACAGAGAGAGGCAGAGACACAGGCAGAGGGAGAAGCAGGCTCCCTGCGGGGAACCCAATACAGAGCTCGATCCCAGAACCCCAGGATCACGCCCTGAGCCGAAGGCAGACACTCAATCACTGAGTCACCCAGGCGTCCCTATTTTATTTATTTATTTGAGAAGACAGAGAGCACACAAGCAGGGGGAAGGAAAGGGAGAAGCAGACTCCCCGCTGAGCGAGGAGCCAGATGTGGAGCTCAATCCTGAGACTCCGGGATCATGACCCAAGCCAAAGGCAAACGCTCACCCACTGAGTCACCCAGGCACCCCTGAGTCATAGGACTTTACAGAAATACAAAGAACTGACTGCCATAAAAGCCAGGCGAGTGGTTACTTCTGGAAGGAGGAAGGGGTCTGTGACCAAATGGGGCGTCCAGGGTGGCTAGCAAAGTTCCATCTCTAGACCCAACTTCTAAAAATCCCTTCAGCCCTAAATTGGTTTGTGGGGCATCTGTATCTGCTTTTCATTTTACAATAAAACAGTTCACCCCTTGCCCTGTTCTCTTTCACTGTGCTGAGCCTATAAAGAGAAATTTCTGGTCATGAACTCCCCTCCTGGGCTGTAAGCTCTATTATGGCCAAGATCACATCCAACTTGCTAACACTACAATCCCAGTGCCTAATGATGCTGAATGAAGGAGGGAATGAATGAATGACCCTTCCAGGAGAGCTTTCCTCTCCAGACTTCACTCCAGGGATCAGGAACCACATGAGCCCTACTTAATCATAGAACCAGCAGTGCCTAAGCCAGAGCACAGCACACAGAAGACCATCGATAATATATTTTTATAAAATAATTCAGTGAAAGAAAACTCAACTGTGCCAGACATAGAGGACACAAAAATGAGCAAGATGTGATCTTGCTATCAAGAACCTCTTCAACTAGCAAGGAGAGACACAAACCAGACCATGTGACAATGCGCAGGGGGTGATGTAAGCACTGTGAGGGGGAATCCGGGAGGGCTTCTCAGAAGAGGGGACATGGAGCTGATTCTTGAAGGAAAAACCAGAAAGTCCCTTCACTTGGAGGCAGGACAAGCACCTCCCGGGAGGTGTTGGGATCTCCCCAACCCCATCCACTTCTCCCCAAACTATCTGAGTTCCCCAAGGTGTGCCGTTATCACCACCTCCCTTCTAGAGCATGTGTGTGTGTGCACACCCACACGCATACACACACACACACACACACACACACTGAGAAAATGCCTCCCACATACAGTGTGACCCAAGACATTATTTGTGTGCACACGTCCCAACCATTCTGTGAGGCTGTCCCTGCACCCAGACCAGAGGACAGAGGCTCACAGGAGTCAAGTGAATCGCCTGAGACCAGCCAGAAAGGTGTAGAAAGGGGGGGCATAGGAAGGCCTGAACCTCATTTTCCATCCGTGGAAGAGTGAGGGGGTCAGAGCCCTCTCCCCACCTCACTGTCACTCAGAACGCCAAAATGACAGTTTGGGTTCTCCCAACACCCTCCACTCTAGGAACTGCAAGTAGTGACCTCTGTCTCTTATCTTCTCCATTAGTCTGGAACGCTGGCAGGGCCAAGCCCAAGACTGGCCCTGGAATGCGTTCCTCTAATAACTTCCGAGGAAACGAGCTAAGTAAAGAGCCACAACCCCCACAACTCTGAAATGTAAGCTTTGCTTCCTGTGCTTCTTTTCATGTCCTTTTTTTTACTGAGACTTAACTTCTGTAAAGGGCCCAAACCTTTTTTTTTTTTTTAAGATTTTATTTTTAGGCAATCTCTACACCCATCATGGGGCTTGAACTCACATCCCGAGATCCAGAGTCGTATGTTCTACAAACTGAGCCCACCAGGCACCTCTTTAAAGGGCTCACATCTTAAGTGAAGTGGGTGGTAAGTTCTTCCAGAAGACATTCCCAGCACCCACGCAAGCGCCCTGTGTCCCCTCCCAGCCATGTCTTCCAAGGACAGTCACTCCTAAACCTCTACCCCCAGACGGACCTTTGCACAATGCTGAGCATCACATACACGGACACACTCCATCTGTTGTCTTTTTTTTTTATTATTTTATTTATTTATTCATGAGACACACAGAGAGAGGCAGAGACAGGGGCAGAGGGAGAAGCAGGCTCCCTGTGGGGAGCCCGATGTGGGACTTGATCCCGCACTCCAGGATCACAACCTGAGCTGAAGGCAGACACTCAACCACTGAGCCACCCTGTTGCCCCTCTGTCTGTTGTCTCCTATGTCTGACTTCTTTCGCTCAACATCAGGTGCGCAAGATCCATCCAACCACTGGGTGTGGCAGTAGATAGTTCCTCTTCATTGCTGTGTTCATCCTTGTCTTTGAACTTTTGCTCTCGTAAAGCTGAAGTCCAATCCGATCCTTTTTTCCCTATCAGTGTCAGTGATGAGGCACAGCTATGAGATCACGGGACCAGCTCATCCCATATTTCTGTTCCACCACGTATGTGGAGCTAGTTGGAGGTTGAAAGCATTTCTGGTCCCGCGGCTGGCCACCAAACTTCACTGAGCACCCAGCTCCCTCTCCTCCTCCAAGAGCCACTGCTGCTCCGGCCTGAGGGGCTGGAGGGAGGCAGGAAAGGGGCTGTGTCCATGGGGCGCCCCCCATCCCAGAGCCGAACTGCGGCAGGAAGGAAACCCAGGGGACTTGTGTGAACCAGAGCCTCACCACACCCTTGCCTAAGCCCAGCTTCAGAGAACCCGACAGACACACCCCACGAGCCTGGGCCTCTGGCCACGGGTGTCCTTCATCCAAGCCGAGCCCGGAAAGGACCACGCTCTCCAGGTTCCTGCTCACTCCGCTGGCAAACAAAGCTCTACAGGAAGGGTTGTAAAAGGGCACAGCCACTGTGGGAGACGGCATGGAGGGTCCTCAGAACATCGAGCAACCCAGGCGACCATCGGGTGAGTGGAGAACAAAATGTGGTCTGTCCATACAAGGGAATACCATTCGGCCTTCAAATGGAAGGAAGTTCTGACACCTGCCACACCATGGATGAACCTCGAGGACATGACGCTCAGTGAAATGAGACGGCCACAAAAGGCCCAATCCTGGGATGCTTGGGTGGCTCAGCGGCTGAGCGTCTGCCTTTAGCTCAGGGCATGATCCTGGGGTCCCAGGATCGAGTCCCGCATCGGGCTCCCTGCATGGAGCCTGCTTCTCCCTCTGCCTGTGTCTCTTCCTCTCTCTCTCTCTCTCTCTCTCTCTCTGTGTGTGTGTGTGTCTCATGAATAAATAAATAATCTTTAAAAAAATAAAATAAAAAGAGGTTTTATAGGGTGCCTTCAGTTCAGGTCATGATCCTAGGGTCCTGGGATGGAGCCCCACATCAGGCTCCCTGCTCAAAGGGCATCTGCTTCTCCCTCTCCCCCAGCTTCTGCTTCTCTTGCTCTCTCTCAAATAAATAAAATCTTTTATAAAAGTAAAACAAGGTTTGTACCCAGGAGGGCCCAGGAAACTCAAAACACCGCAGGTCTGAGCCTGATTCATGGGGAGGCTGCCAACCTCCAACCAACAATGCATCTGGAATGGACACACAGATTCCTCTGCTTCTAAGCAATAAAAGCAACAGTCCCAGCACCGCATATGAGCCTACTCCCTCGGAGCCCAGGCTGGTCACGGTGTTACTCCTGCACTTCATTGCTAGGAGCCGGCGACCACTGGCTCCATTTCACAGAGGAGAAAACCAAGGCTCAGGGAAGTCAAATAACGAAGCTCAGGTCCCAAGCACGAGGCAGGGCTGGGATTCGGTGTATGCCTGGCAGATTCTAGAGCCGAATTCCTTTTTTTTTTTTTAAGATTTATTTTTATTTGTTTATGATAGACATAGAGAGAGAGAGAGAGAGGCAGAGACACAGGCAGAGGGGGAAGCAGGCTCCATGCCGGGAGCCCGACGGGGGACTCGATCCCGGGACTCCAGGATCGGCCCTGGGCCAAAGGCAGGTGCAAAACCACTGAGCCGCCCAGGGATCCCCTAGAGCCGAATTCTTAATCGTCAGGCTATTGTGTCCTTCCAAGGCCTTCAAACAACCTGGGGGATTTCACAGGCTGGAAACCAGCGTTCAGAGTGGACCAAGGCTGAACCAGGTACACCAAGATCAAACCATCCCCCATCCCTTAGCAGTAATATCGATTCACAGGGACACTTCTGAGTTTTCAAATCATATCTAAGAATCCATTTGATCCAACAGATCAGAGAGGACATAGGAGGGGTTTTGTGGTCATCTACAGCTGACATGAAGCCATCTGAAGAACGACCAGAGAGGGGCATGAACCACCCAAGGTCACACAGCACGTTCCCATGGAGGCAGGCCCAGCATCCAGCCAGGCCTCATCCAGAGACAGTCACCCCACCAGGGCCCCCAGGAAGGTACCCTCAGACGCAAGCCTCGGGTGGGCACCAGGACACAGATGGAATTCTCCGAAGTCCTCCATGCAGCCTTTCCACAGGCCACCGCACGCTGCCCGCCTGCCAGTCTGACGCTCTGCCCTCCGTTTTTCATTGCTAATTAATTTGGATGGAGATGTCTTTAAACCGAGACTTACGTCGGGTCCTCCCCACTGTCTGTGAACCAATTTCATTACAACAGAAACCGTGTTGCCAAAATGAGAAATCCCCTCCTTTTCAGGCCTGTGCCCTTGAAGGCATCTTATTAGAAAAGACCATTTCTTAATTAACATTTTTGATCTTTAATCCATTACACATCCCTCTAATCCTGTACGGAGGTGCGGCTGGCCCACTTCCGCGGGCTGGCTCTGGGCTGCGCGAGGCTGGCAATTTCAGCGCTGAGGGCTCGCTCACAGCTGGACTCCGCCGCGGACAGTCTGCCGCTCCCAGACACCACCTCTGGTCCAGCCGCGGGTGCCTTTCCCGAGCGGGAGCCGGGGAGGGGCGGCCGGCGCAGACACCCCCGGATGGGCCAGTCTGCAGACGAGAGTTCATTTCATTAACCCCTGAACCCCATCTCTTCTCGCCCCAGAATGGTTTCTAGCGGAGGCTGTTTTTGCAGATCTGGCTCCTGCCAAGCGTGAGGGCCGCCAGGCTGGTCTTCCTTTCCGTCCACGCAAATTGCAAGCAACCCGACCACATCGACACAAAGAGCTGGTCCCATCAAGGTCAGAGGGGCCCAGCGTGGAAGGCTTCGGACCGCCCGGTGACTCCCTGCCTCCTGAAAGACTTTCTTCCCTGGGTTTTGGGGTCTTTGCCTTCAATGCCGATGCCTCTCGGCTGTCTGCGCTCACTCCCGGCGCTAAGTGCCAGCTACACACTCGGCACCCAAACTCGTCCCGGGGGGCCCCCTCGTCCCCTATCGCCAGACCACACGTTCAAGTGCCCAGTGCACCTCCAAGAGGCATCTCCAACTGTGGCCAAACCAAGTTCTTGAGCAGCCCGCCCCACCATCATATCAGAGCAGCTCTCCCCAGGGCACCCCGTCACCCAGCTCCTCACCTCCAGCCACCCAGCTGCCCTGGGGCCTTGGAGGCACACTTGCTTCCTCTC